TTGGGGGGAGATGGGCGGCATACTAAATAAACAAACAAACAAACAAACAAATAAATATACATATCAAATATATCTTGTAAAATCACTGCTTTGTTTTTAAGGTTATCCTTTGCCAAATCAGTTTCAGTTGTTTATCCTCCCTTTAAAGATACAACTAATGTTAGTGTCAGCTGGTTGTGGAAAACAAACATTCTAACTCATAGTAAATTGCCATTCTGAAGAAAAGCCAGAGAGTAATTTCTATTTCTGTTAGTGAAGGCAAAGGCTGACAGATGGGGATTAGAGTTCATTGCTATTCCAGATTGTATGGGACAGCAGAATTCCCTCCATCCGGACACTGTTAAACTAATTAAAAACAGCACTTACACTAATGCAAAAGTGAAAGCAGAATGGAGTGAATATAGTGCTGAGAGATTCCTGAGAAACCTTATCAATCACTCCCACATAAAGTGATGACCAGGACTTAAAACAAAGGGGTTAGCAAACTGTCCTTTGATTTTTATGATTGATCAAATTCCCCTTTCCTCTCCTTGACAGCAAAGGGCATACTTTAGGATACATATTTTAAGTCCCATAAATACATATTTTAAGTCCCATAAACAAAGTTTGCAGCTCTAAGAGGATTATTGTTGGAATATACTTACAGTTTGAACTGGCAAGTAATCTTATCTTGCACAAAATAACTAATATAAAAGCACATGTTTAGAGACTAGATATGTGAAATTCATTAATTCAGTAACATTATTATTAAAAATGGGCACCTATGTTTCAGGTTTAGAAGAGCATAAATCTGAAATTTATTAACAATCTTAAAAAAAAGAAGCTCATGACATTTTACAGTAAGAATTATAAAATTATTTTTGTGCTTTTATTATATTTGTACATTATTTTTATATTTTTGTTTGAAACATACTTACGTAGATTCTGGATCTTTTTCCTTCTTAATAATCCCTGATAATCCAAAATGCTTTCTTTTTCTTGGCTTTACTCCTACAAGTAAATTATTATTAGATGAAAATTAAAATTCATATGTTATTCAGCATATATTGAAATAATGCACAAGTACAGTAAATATGAAAATACTTTATTTCATGAGACTACTGTACGTCATACAAAAGTACTGCCAATAAACTGGAATACTTCTACATTGGATTAAGCTTCATTTTTTTTTTATTCTTAAACTTAGCTCTGAATCAAGATTTCTGGTTACATTGGGGTTCTCAAACATTGTTGTGCCATGGCCCCTAAAATTACAAATGAGTTGTGTGACGCCTCTCTACTCTGTTAAACCTGCCCTGGTCTGCTTGGTCAAGTTGAAAGGCAGCTTATCCAGGCAAACACAGTGTACCTCCACCCCTTCAAATTTGCTCACAACCTTCCTAGGGAACCAAAACCCAGAGTTAGGTCTATGGGTAGGCCCCTTAATATTTTCTTGTTTCTGTTCAAAAGAAAATTGAGTTAAATGACATCAACAGGCTTTGGGCTAGGCTGGCTGGAGCCCCTTGTTGGGTGTATGACATGTTGTTGATCAGATCTGCCATCTTGTTTATTATTATAAGTTTTATTTTATTTTTTGCTTGCATTTTGTTGTTTCATTTTTTATGCTGTGAGCTGCCCAGAGCCAACTGGAATTGGATGGCATCTACATTGAATATATAATTATAATAACAGCAATGTAACACACTAATGTCACATCATCCTAGCCTCTACCTAACTTTCCTAATTGTGACAGAACTCACAGTTCAAGAAAATATTTCTCACAGGTAAGAAGATAGTTTAAAAAAAAAAAAAACTACCTACTTTAAGTCAATAATAAATCACCAGAGAATCCCAGGATGCTAAAAAAAAGTCTGTAGGTAATATTTTATTTCCATGTATATATTCTTCAAGAACTCTTACAGACTAAACGGAGAGCCAGAGAACTACAGTAAGTGTTCTACACATACAGTTGCAAGAAAAAGTATGTGAACTTTTTGGAATTTCAGGGCGTTCTGCATTAATTTGTCATAAAATGTGATCTGATTGGCATCTAAGTCAAGAGTATTGACAAATATAATGTGCCTAAAATAACAACACAAAAACAATTCTGATCCTTCATGTCTTTATTGAACACACCCATTCAAAATTCAAAATGCTAATGGAAAAAGAAAGTGAACCCTTGGAATCAATAACTGGTTGACCCCCCCTTGACAGCAATAACCTCAACCAGGCACTTCTTGTAGCTGTGGATCAGACCTGCACATCGTTCAGGAGGGATTTTAGCCCATTCTTCCTGGCAGAACTGCTTTAGCTTTGTTATATTCTTTGGACATCTCATGTGTATGGCTCTCTTCAAGTCATTCCATAGCATCTCTATTG